GATATTGGAGAAAAACATTAGCACTGTGTCTCCAACTTTCATTCATGAAATATGTATCAAAACCTGTAATTTCTGTATATAAATTAACCGTCTTTACCCACTTTCCATAAGGGGGAGAGAAAGATGTGTGTATATATATATGTACATATATATGTACATACACATACACACACACACAACCTAGTCACTTTGACGGCACGTCTTTTCCCGCTCACGTGGAGCTTCTCCCTCGGGATATTCCAACATCAGAAACTTTTCCCACGAATCCGATGTACCAGCGAATAATGCATCTTGACGCATATTTCAAGATGTCAAGAAAAGATAAAGAGAGAGAGAGAGAGAGAGAAAGAGAAAGAGAGAGAGAGAGAGGGAGAAAGAGAGAAAGAGAGAGAGAGAGAGAGAAAAAGTGTATCTAGCTCGCGTAATCAAATTCGAAAAGTTCTCTCTTTCCGGTAAACGTACAAGGAAATCGATGTGATCAAACGTATGCTCTTAAAACGAAACCGCTGCGAGTTGTTTCCCGTCGTAGGATATAACTTTTTATTAGTTAGACTTTTTCTTTTCCTTTTTCTGTTTTTCTCTTTATTTACCTCCTTATCAAGGTTTAATAACAAAAGAACTTTTTCAGATATGTACATCAATTCGGTTTAAGAATTCTTAAGATACGCAAAATATTTTTCAAATAAGGACAAACGTATTGTTTAATCATTCGTCTCTTGTCGGTTAATAATATCTACAAAGCGTTTGAAATAAGTTTGAAGGATGGAGAAGGAGATTATTTTACAAAGACCATTGATTTCCGAGCATCCGGAAGAGACAAGACGAACTCTTTGGACTTTCTAAAAGCGAGAAAACTAAAGGCAAGATTTTCTTTTTGGTCTGAATGAAACACCGACGCGAACAACTTCTCCTTTTTCCTCCCCCTTCACCCCCTTCTGTTCTCCTCCCGCCACCCCTTCCCGCGCAAAGTAGTCTAATTTTAATTTAATCTTAATTATCGAAACAGTCTGATCCACGAGGCAAACTCCACGAGGTTTAACCACTTTCTCGGTCTACTTTTCTTTACCGTACCGTTGGCTTCCCTTTTGACTTCCCTCTTAGCTTCCCTCGCGGGATTCTCCTTCAACATCACCGTTACTCTCCGCCACCACCATCACCGCCAACATCGCTAGGAGCCTTCTGGTTTTACGCTTCGAGAAACCGTAATTACTTCCGTTCCACGTTCGATATTAAATAAAACATAACGCTACGATCCTTAATCGTCCATTCGTTGACATACGAGACAAAAAAGCATTGAAAAGACTCCATATTTAAAGATATATCATCGATTATATCGTTTACCTCATTATATGAATTATATTAAAGAAGAAGAAAAAAGGATACAATAATGATAAAAACAAATATAATAAATGATTTCTACGAAGAAGTGATCAAGAACCTATTTATAATATTTACTCGTTGATTGGTTATCCTCGTTAGATGAACTATTCGAGATAAAAAGAAAATGCTTCGGTTAGCTTGATAACTATTCTCATAAATGATATATAGTAAGTATATACGACGAAATTATCGATAAGGTGATAATCGAATATAAAATAAAGTAAAAAATGAAGGGACCGATAAGAACTCGCGAATTAGATTCACGAAGGTCATCCCTCGCAAAATCCTAACTGCATCTGGGGATCAAAAAGCTCGCGGATTTCCCTATTCGTCCAGCTCTGAATTCAACGGCCTCATCGAAGCCGAATCACCTCGTATGTTCCTATATTCTCTTCGACCACGCGCTTTCTATGTCTTTATATAGGTATATATGGTATATATGCTCTCATGTGTATGTGTATGTTTGCGCAAGAGTGAACTCTGCTATCCTACCTGCTGGCTGATGGATTTATCGTTCACGTACACGCGCAAGCGTGCGGCAACCGATTCAATTTAGCTTAATTTAAGATCCGCCAGGCGCGTTTTCCGCAGACTAAAGAACTGCCGCGATTAATTCCCGTTCTCGTGATTCTCTGTTACGCTGTCACGTAAGTAGATATCTCTTCTCCTTTGTTCTTTCCTAATCCATTTTTTAACAATGCAAACATAACCTTTCATCATTCATTTCTTCTAATTGCTATTTTAAAAATACGAATTGAATTTATTTATGAGAAAAAAAGAAACAAAAAAATAATCACTTTTTATCTATCGTATCGTTTTGGAACACCTTATATAATATTTTTTCTTTCTTTTCCGTCTTTCTCATATTCTCTCTCTCTCTCTCTCTCTCTCTCTCTCTTTCTCTCTCTCTCTCTCTCTCTCTCTCTCACGTTCGCTCTTTCGTTTGATCCTATTAAAGCCATTTTTCCCCCAGTTTATGCAACTTCTCATTTACTAGTTAAACGCTTATCGCCGATAGGGAATTTTAATACCCAAAGTTCCTATTAAAATTTTCATTCGCTAAAGTTGTCCTCGACTTAGAACGATCTCTCTCTCTCTCTCTCTCTCTCTCTCTCTTTCTCTCTCTCTTTCTCTCTCTTTCTCTCTCTCTCTTTCTTCTATTTATGTCGTATTCCTATTAAAGACTCACCAAAATTTATCTCGGGTACGCGGGAATTTAAACGTCGACGGGACAAAAACTCCATCGGCTGCCGTCAAAGGTGGCGTAATTTCGTCTCTTGCACGTACACTGAAAGACGGAGAAATAGGAGGCGTTTGACCTGTTTACGCGTTGCACTTGTACGTACATACGTACGTACGTAGGTACATAAGAGCACGCTCGAACTCATCCAATATGACATAGTCGCTCATAGAAACGAAGATTTGTTTGACGAGGGTCGAACACGTAGCTTACGTTTCATAACGATTCTGCGGAATGTTCTTCTTGTTTTCGATTAATTAAATTTCATATAATATCGTAAAATATTTTCTTTCGAAATCACCTGATCCAATAATATCTAATAATTATTAACGAACAAACGACACATTATAAAATTTTTGGCGGAGTTATTCTTTTTCTTTTTTTTTCTTTTTTTTTTTGAAAGATAAAAAAAGATAAGGGGTCGTCTGGTCAAAGGTCATGCACAGCTCGTCGCTGATAAGATTTTGGAAGATGCACGACGCCGTTCGTGAGATCTAATGGCATAGAGATTGCTACGTGAGCTCGGCAACGCGAAACTAATTTGTCCGCCACGGTAAACGACGACTAGTACTACGAAGACTACGACTACTACTAGTACGACTA